AAGAAAGAAAGAAAAAAGAAAGAAAGGAAGAGAGAGAGAAAGAAAGAAAGAGAGAAAGAAGGAAAAAGAAAGAGAAAAATAGAAAACAAAACAGAAATTCACAGTTCATGGCCGCAGACCCATTGGTAGAGGCAGATTGATTTAATTGTAACAGTCATACAATGCTACCCCTCCCTTACCCGTTTCCACCACAACATCAAATGGTAGGTAGCAGCTGAACTGACTAGAAGGCATACGCTCTATTTAAGATGGAATGCTTCGAGGAGCCCAAAGTCAGCAACGAGGTGACTAAAATCTCTGTCAAGTGCTCTGACAGAAGGCTTTAACACAGTGCAAGTTGTGGGAAGATTAATATAAAATCTTCTAGCAACGCCTGTAATCCTAGTTACTCAGGAGGCTGAGATCTGAGGATCACGGTTCAAAGCCAGCCTGAGCAGGAAAGTCTGTGAAACTCTTCTCTCCAATCAACACCTAGAAACCTGGAAGTGGTGCTGTGGCTTAAGTGGTTGAGCGCTTGCCTTGAGCTGAAGCGCTGAGAGACAGTGCTCAGGCCCAGAGAATATGCTCCATGACCAACAAACCAAAAGAAAAAGAAAACTGTTCCACAAGAAAGCCTAATAGAAACTTATTTAAAAGCATAAAAGCGTGGGTGCTGGTGACTCACTTCTGCAATCCTAGCTACAATCCTGCAATCCTATCTTCAATTAACCACCTAAAAGCCAAAAGTCAGGCTATGGTTCAAGTGATAGAGCCTTAGACTTTACCAAATAAAAGCCTCAGGGACAGCATCCAGGCCTTTAGTTCAAGCCCCAGAACTAGCACAAAAACCAACCAACAAACAAAAAGAAACAAAATGTCCTTTGAGCAACTAAGCATTTAGCAAAATGCATTACCAGGAAGCTAAAACATATACTGTTGGTGAAAGGCCCCAGTTCCCTAGGATACTTTCCTCAAAGGGAGGGCGCCCCAGAAACCCAGTCTCCAGACCAGCTGATGCAACAAGCAAGAGTTGTTTATTAGACGTTTGAGCAAATGGGCTCTCTGAATCCCCAGGAGAGAGAGAGCGCCCCCAGCAGCGGTTACAGGCATTTTTCAAGGCAAAACCCACAAAATTAACATTTAACACAAGGCGCCCATGATTGACCCTTTCAAAGGTCACCATACATCACTCCTGGGGAATCTCCAACCAGGAAATGACAATAGGGTGTGAGGTTGTTCTTGAACACACCCATATTGTTTGTTCTTTCACGGAAACCACTAAAACCATAAACCACTAAAACCATAAACCACTAAAACCATAAACCTTTTCATGACCTTATCCTGGGGCCAACACCTGGGCAATGAGACTTCACTTAATTCCTTGTTCCCATGGAGGAGGTCTTTTTTTTTTTTTTTTTTTACTAAAATCTTTCATTGGGAGACAGTGGAGGTTAAGGGAAGGAGGGCTGACAGAGAGGGAAGGGTGGGTGAATACAGTGATAATACTCAACATAGATATGGGAAAATGGAGCCAGGTAGCTTGAGGGGATGGAGTGGTGGAGAGAATGATAGAAAAGGTGATATTGAGCCGGGCATCAGTGGCTCATACCTGTCATCATAGCTACTCAGGAGGCTGAGATCTGAGGATCGCAGTTCAAAGCCAGCCAAGGCAGGAAAGTCTGTGAGACTCATCTCCACTTAAATACCAGAAAACTGGCAGTGGTGCTGTGGCTCAAGTGGTAGAGTGCTAGCCTTGACCTGAAGGGCTGAAGGACAGCGTCCAGTCCCAGAGTTTAAGCCTCACAACCAACAGAAAAGAAGAAAAAAAGAAAAGAAAAGGTGATATTGATCGATATGCATTGTACTTATACATTGACATGTTGAATTGAAACCCCTTTGTACAACTACTT